CTTCTTGCATGTATTAATATGAACCTTCCCCACATCTGGTGAGACAGACAGATGATGTAATCGGTTATTAAATCTATTCCCCTCACTAGAAAGAAATAAACTTTCCATTAATAATGATGGAAGTTGGCTGACTTAATACTGTATCTTTAATTAAATCAGCTGATCTGAACAAACCAGAGCGACTCTACAGCTTGAGTCAATCAGACTCTGGCAAAAAAAAAAAAAAAAGTCCTATTTCATATAACAAACAGCTCACAGCAAAGACAGAAGCTGTGTTTGAGTTAGGTCATGGGTGTAGGGTCCAAATATAAACTATAAACAATGACTTCAGATTTGTGACCATCAGGAACCATAGACACACCAACTTAAACAAACAATTTGCGCTTCACAATTTTCCCCTGAAAGTTTTTCCAGTGTAGGTTGTTCTGATTTTGTTTGCTTGCTTGTTTGTTTGTTTCCCATTGCAGAGATTTAACTCTCACAGCAGCATGAATTGTCTCATTACAGTTGCAAAACTTCTATTTACATTACAAAAATCCCTGAACATTCAAATACACCCAGGAATGCAGTTTACACCCTCCACCCCCACACATGCCCCATTCCCTCAAAGACTGTGATGGATCACACAGTTTACCAGCAAACGGTGTTTATAGTCACAGACGGGAACACACACATCCAATCCTCTCTCCTGTCCTTCACCCTCTTCTCTTCCCTCTTTCTTCTCAACATTGGCAGCAGTGATAAAGGCCCGCAAGTCCCTTTGTTCTATGAGCACGAGTGCGAGTGTGTGTTTGTGCATGTGTCTGTGCAAGTGTGCATGTGTGTGCGTGCGTGTGTGTGTGTGTGTGCCTGCAAATATGCAGCCTGTGAATCAGCCAAAAGCAGCAGCAAGGTAAATGGGGTGTGAAAGTCCCAGGATTATTAAGAATTAACAGGAGAAGCTTAATAAATCACCCTACAGCAGTGTGTGTTTGAGTGTGTGTACTGTAGGTGTGGGAGGGCATATCAAATAGACCTCCTGAAATGAGGCCCTGAACTCATTCTGGACCAACTCATGCACATGTGTTCAGGGTATCCCTCTAAATGTCATGAACAAGCACACACAAACTTAGTGCTGGATACTGGGCTTCCTCTATTAGTCTCAAAGCAGTGAGTGAAACTGCAGCCCTGTGTTATTGCAGCATTTCTCACCGACTGGACATTAATAGGAAGAGTGGTCTAAGACGTTTTATAGAAACAATCTCAATGATGAACGACTGCACACATAAACAAACTTTCCCTTGCTGTATGTATGTACTGTGTCCAAGGCTAAATAACCAGAGGCTGAAACTCGTAAGTGAATGTGCTTTCTTCACAAAATCTCTTTACAGGTGTTTTCACTTCTTCTATCCGTGTACAACAAAGAGTTTTGGGGTTATTTTAAAAAAGATAATCTAAGAATAGTTTTTGCTAATGAAAAATAATTTTCTAATGTATAACTGGAGCTAAAGAGGACTTTACTGAAGACTATTACAGTAGCTACCTATTTCACAGTATTCACCTCCACCTTTAGCTCAGAAAGGTACAGTATGTCAAAATAATGAATCATAAGTGTCTATACAGGGAGGAGGCTGAACTACTCATTATAATATCCTATAGTGTTTATCCTCTGGGGACTTTTTTGAGAACAAAACACCATTCATTAATTAAAACGTTATGATTGGAATATCTATTTGTTGCTATTTGTAATACTGTTCTAGAAGCTGATAAGTCTCTGAAATACATTTTAAGTGGGAGGGAGCAATTAAATTTGTTTTGAGATTGTACAAAGAAGAAGAAAAAAAGCAGAACCAATATAACCACATAGGAGAAACCACTTGAGCAAAATAAAGTGAGAGGAGGTCATCCAGGTATTTTATTCTACTCTCACTGAGTAACCTTACTGCCAGAAATAGTTAACAAGCCTGGTGCTACATGGAGAGATAGGGGCTGGAACCGTTCTCAGCGACAAAGTTCAGACTCATTATTTCTCATTTTGTGCAGAGATTTCTTTATAAAGAGGGCTTCTGTGTGCCAATGACAGTCTTATAAAGAGGCCCAGAGGGGAGTGAGTCTGAGATATGGATTTATGGATTTTTGTCTGCTTTGGACACAGGCTTTGATCAGAGCACATTGATCTACAGAGATTTACACCACGGGAACTCAATATAAGTCCTGCACTTTTTCCAGAAAAGTGTCAGCCACATTAGAGTTATTTATCAAAGACAACTGAAAATCTGGAATCAGTAAGGAGATTCTCTGGGGAGGCTGAATCTGTGATGGAATGTGAATGCAAATCAAATCACTGCTCCATCTTTCTCTGTTCTATTCTAGTTTATCCTATTCTATTTTAAAATGTTTTATTTTTAAGAAAATAACTTTTGAATAGTAAATACTGGAGAAAAAAGATCACTTAGCTGACCTTTAAGCAAAACTGAGAAACTGATAAAAGTTAAGTCCTTTCGGTGTGCCTTTAAAGGTGCATTAAGTTTTTACACATTGTCTGATAAATCACATGAAAATGGGACAGGGCATGGTTCCTCTGAGCTATATTAGCCCCCTCCTTTGCAGTTTGCTGCATACAACCCTTCTGTTGTTGTCAAAGGTTATAAGTTCTAAACGCCATTGGTCATTTCAAACAACCAGCCATGGGAGAGTTTTAGGTAACTACAAGTTCGAAACAGTGGTTGACAGACCGAAGAGGTCATGTTCTTGTGCACAGAGGTTAGGACAAACAAAAAATAAAGACCAGGGTTATCACCAGTTTGGCTTTTGAGATGGAGACTGCTAAAAGCAACCACAAGACTGAAAGATGATTAGATGTAGTGTCTTCCTTTTGGATGTGTTAGCATCTAAAGCAAATCATTAGCCCACTAGCATGGTCATGATTTTACCTTTGTATTGAATTAATACAATTTGAATTTGGTAGTAATTTGAATTTTGTATAACGCCAGTGCTTTGTGTCACATTAGCAGTAACCAGAGCGTTCTACTGATCTGCCAAATGTACTTGTTATTCAGATAATGCTAGCATTAGACTGGATGATACTGTACATTTGTACAGGCATCTGTACATCATATTGTAGCTTTAAAAAACAGGATGGGGGGGGACAAAAAATGCTAAGCATTGGCTTATGGTGTGAGATTGTTTTGAGTCTCACTAGAATAAAATTTGGCAGAATAGCTTTAAGTCATGAATCATGCATGTACTTACTACGTGTTACCACCCCCTCCAACCTGATGATGTTGGGATGGTCAAACTGTCCCATGATCGATGCCTCAGCGAGGAAGTCACGTCTTTGTTTATCCGTGTATCCTCCTTTAAGAGTCTTTATGGCCACACAGATCTCCTTCTTACTGGGCAGCTTCAGGCGACCACTGCAGACCTCACCAAACTCACCTGGAGTTAAAATGATGGAAGATAGAACAAAAGGAATGATCACAGTCCCAAACATACTAATACTACTAATGTCCGCAGCACTGCTTATTAAGCTCAGTGGTTAATATTTAATGCTAGAGGCTGTATTGTCTTATTATCATAAATGTAGATATACTGTATCACCATGTACATACCATAAAAAATGGTTCAAGTTGCTATAAGAAGCCAATGTATGAATTAAATTAATTTAACTTTTTTGTGTTTTTAATTAATTCCATAGGGTTCAAGAAGGAATTGACTCAATGTGTACACAACAAATGCTTTGAACTGTAAAGAAACATTTTAACCTTATTCTCGTAACCATGTACATTCTGACTAGATGTTGTAGAGATTCAGAAAGCAAGAGTATTAAATACAAATATATAATATATCAGGACAAACCTCCTAAAACATCTCTGAAAACTTAATTTTTACATAATATTTTACATCTCAAATGTTTTTCTTTGAGTCCAAGCAGCCACTTATCTGGAAACCTCTGACTGTTGTCCCGCCCAGTATTTTAATACTGAGCTCACAAATGACAGACAAAAAGAGAAAGGGCAGCTCAAACTATTGTCCATTTTTTAAAGGACATGAGGTCACTGAAACTATGGTTTTCATTAGTTTCATCACTGTAAGCTTGAGAGGGATGAGTAGAACAGCATGAATTAGAAGGCCTGTATAATGCAGTCCTTGCACACTACATTGCAGAATCATCCTCAGAAGGTTTTATGCCCAAGATGAAGCTGCAGATTTAAAAGGATCTTATTATTAACAGCCGTTAATCAGGAATGTATTTGTTGGATTTGGACAGAAACTGCTGCATAATTATGCATAATCACAAACTATAGCAATAAAATCATGTAAAACTGAACAGACAGCATAGCAGCCTTTCAACTTTGTTCCTTTGTCAAATAAAAACACAGCATAACTCAACCTCCACTCTGAGAAGCATCAGTTAGCATTCCATGCAAGTGAGGGGAAGTGTATGTTTACTTCACTCCCTTGTTGTGTGTGGGTTCACAAGATATCATAACCTTTCCAGGCAGACTGGACACACAAAGGCAGCCAGTCATGTTACAGCTGGTGACAGGGTTTTGACTGGATTGTATAAGTTTAGACAAAGTGTGTATAGCTGTGTATATGTGTATGTGTAATGTACACACACTCTGAATGTGCTCATGTGATGTCAGGGCTAAGATATGTGCACATCTTTCTTTGTCCAGTTCAATTATTTCCCATTGCAGCTCAGGATCAGAGAGCTTGGGTCAAACCTTGGAATTGAACCAATGGGATCTGGGATAACTTAAGCCGGTATAATTACTGTACAACCTGTCTAAATACCAAAAGCATGCCTGCTTTTCTGCTCTGCTTCATTCTTCTGGCCCTCAGCAGTGGACAGACAGGTCAGGTCCAGGCACCTTTTTTATGTGGTCCCTCCAAGAAAGAAGATCTATGTTTAATAAGGCTTGATTAGGGACATTCACTCTTTTCCTGTTGTAAGCAAAGCTAGGTATCTGACTTTGATGTTAAAGTTTGACCCATGTAAACAAAGTGCAGCCTGTGTTCTGTCTTTTAACACACAATCACTGACTGGCTATAAGATCAAAGTCTTGGTAACATGTTTAATGAAGACAGATGGGAACTGCAGCAGTGATGACGAAAAGGAGGTATGTTGTGTATTGTTCACAGTGCTTATATGGCTTGATAAAAATCCCACAGATGGGTGGTTTGTTGCATTCAAGCTGGCACACAAGATTGTTTACATCATGGTTTAAGCTTTACTGTTCATCTCTGGTGTTTAATTCACTTTTCTTCTGTTAAAATAGATTTAGAGAGCTCACTCTCACTCCCTTTCCCACATCTAGATATTAATGGGTTTTCTCATAGTGCGTTACTTATAATAGTCTGACACTGGTCTTGTACTGGTCATTAAAACATCTAAATATTCTTAAGGTTTTCTGTCCATATCTATAAGTTAAGTGTGTATAACTGGTTACTAAACTTGTTATGGTCTCAAGGGAGCTTTAGTTTTTAATGCTAACAAACGAAACAGTTTTTTCTTGCTCTGCCTTTTTATTTTAAGTGTTTGATTTCATGAAATGCAACAATTCTGCATTTCACAGACTATTTTATGAACATTTCTTTGTAATCGGTCTGGCTGATTTAATTCTGTATAAAATCAAAATGTCACTTTAGCAGCAGAACATGATATAGAAGTCCCATAGAGAATCAATGTATTGACTTATTCTACAGAGAGAATAAAAGCAGAACACAGATACTTCATATCAGAGGTAGACAACACTGACTTGTCTTTATCTGATTTCCAATAAAAAAAAGCCAATATCTACACATTAATCTCTCCAACCCTATAGAGATTAATGTGCTTCGTCTCTGCTTTGTACTATGAAAAACGCATTGTGGAGTGCAGTGTATTCCAGCATGGAGTCAGGTAGACTCTCAGGCTGTCCTGACAGCTTTACAATGTGGAGGGCTGGAGGGACTCTGGAGACGGGCCTGCTGTTATGTGCTGTGTGCTTTAGTCTCCATCTCTTCTGCCTCGACATGAATCACAATGTATTACCCTTCTGTCTGCACTCCTGTTCAACATATCAGGGAGTACATGGAAAGAGCAGAGGCGAGGAGAGGAGAGGGAGTAGAGGAAGCTTGTTTTAATGTTGTGATCACCAGATTTAGGATTAGGGCATTAGTCAAAGAAGGGAATGAAGAGAAGAAATGAACGAAAGAAAGGAAAACGTGGGCATTAAATGCTTTCTCGCTGTGCAGCGGATGGCACATAGTTAAGCTAGTCTGCTGGCATAAAGATATAGCTATATTGTAGCACTACATGAACTTCATTTTTTCTGAGTGGTTGTGCGCTTGGCGTCTCTCTGTCATTTCAACAGAGCATGAACGAGCAAGAAAGTAAGGATCTGAGGAGGAAGTGGGAAAGAAAATGTATATTCTTTCTGCCTTCTCTCAGCTGGACTGACTCTTCTGTGACTGTTTTCTGCATTGATAAACTTTCCCACCAATGATCCAAGCAAATTTCTGATCTGATCTTGATCTACACACATTTACTATAATTTCTGTTTACTGTTTTCAGTGAAGCAATAATTAATTGATAAAACTTTGAGGAATTAATTGGAAATTTAAAATAAACAATTCACATCACTATTATTGTGTTTCCACTAATGGAACCCAACGAGTGGCCTAACCCATAGTTCCCTTAACCATCATCAAGTGTAGCTTCTGGGGTTGATGTGGACCATCATGCTTTGTTTTTCTACTGTATTTTCTCTGTGTCCGTCTCTGTTTAGAGGAGGGAGGGGCTGCTCCTCTCTCACACACAGTCAGCTGTGTGTTTACACACAGTGCTTGTAATTCTAATGCTTGAGTTGCAAAGACAGATATTTAACCATCCACCAGCGACTGCTTTCAATGCATGCACACCCTCCCCCCTTGTGTTCCTGGTACTTGATTTTAGTACTACCTCCTGAGGGGTGCCAAAATTCAGCTCCCAGAATGCACCTCCAAGGCGGGCTGAGTGTAGTGGAAACAAACTTGGCTTGACAAATTTTGTTGTACCCTAATATGTACCACTGGCTAGTATATTATCAGCTATCTAGTCTGCAAAATCTAAAGTCTGCTGTTTTTTAGAAAGTGTTGACACATTATGTTGTAACTGACAGGCAGAAATTGCCACCTGTTTTCAAAACAGGTTTCAGAATGTAAACTTCAGAAAAGAAATATACATTGCCATTTGGCATTTGCAGTTTTAGTCTTTTAGTCAATTTTGCTAGCCTGAAATAACCAACATACCTGGTGTCTGTATGCAGCAAAATCTGGCAGATGACTCTATTTGACTGCGCTCACCTGCTCCCACCACTTTATCGATGGCAATGCAGGAAGCATCTAGCTCCTTGGCAAACTCGTGCACAGCCTGGCTGGGGTCCTCGTATGTGTGGGGGTCCACATAGGTCCTGATACCTGGTAGCCGTACTACAGCGACAGAGAGCAGGTTGCATCAATTATTGATCATTTAAAAACCTTGTTTCTATGTGTGCATATGTCCCTATATGTACAGTATATGTACTCTGACTGTTATAATGGCTTTAGCTTTATTATGAAAATCAGGAGTCAAAGCATACTATAGGCTGCTGGTGCCGCCCCTGGCCACCCCCTTGGGTCTGCTCATGTTTTGGTGAAGACATTTCTTCATGGATCATTAAAGAACGGGCTTTTAAAATCACATGTCAGAATAACAGTGCTTCTCAAATGCTACAAAGTCAACAATATGGCATGTCTCCAGGTAAAACTGTTTTTATGTGTTTAAGTAGATCTCAGGCAGGAAAACTGTGGTCAGATGCACTTCCAGTAATCAATATAAGGTTTGTGAAAATGCATAAAAAGAAGACAGCAGCTTTAGTCTCTTTATGGCCAGGAAGGACAGAAGAAACAATCACAGTAACCAGTTATAATCTGTACGGGAATGTGAGTATTGTTGTAAGAGAACTGAAAAAAGCTTCCTTTTAGTAATAACATTACTTTTTATTAGTTCCTGTGGAGAAATTTATGATCACCATCTGACCCACCCTAACTATTCATGAAGGGGTGGGTGGGCAGATTCTGTTCAGTGCCTAGGGAGTTCTCCTGCTATTGCCTAGGTCAAGGTTAAAGGTAGTTTTAATCCTAATAAACAACACAGCATATAGTATGTAAATAAAGCATCACATGGGTGATATAAAAAATAAAAGTTACTGTTATCCTATTGTGTTGGTCCATATCAGGGGATAAGCTGTTATTTGTACACTTCACTTGAAGCCATGTGAGTGAGACTTTTTCATCACTGGTCAAAACTGTATCAATGTAAAGGATAATTACCTGGGTTAAACCCTCTAATTAGAGCTAATCTAAATCTTAATGTATGAGATCAGTCTGAATATGTTGCCTTTTTGAATTATGCCTCAAAGGTTGGTTTGCAAATGGACCTAGAAACCTCGTTCTCAACATGGTCTTGGTCTGATTATTGTCTTTTTATATAACCACATGCACCAAAAAGTAAAAGGGAAACCACTTCAAGATGGGAAATTTCTTCTTCAAAACTACTGTTTTAGTGGTGTGAAATTTCTATGATAAAGATGTCTCCCAGTCTCAAACTATCAAAACTACAGTGCAAATACAGTATGTTGTACATCTACTTAGTGAATAGTAAACTGAAGTACAAACAGATAGAACCAGGCCCACAGGGAAACAGAGTACAGTACTTACAGTGGCCATTGCCAAAGTGCAGTCTTTTCTCATCAGGATGTTTGGACTTGCTGTGGCAACAAAACCTGCCAATCCAAACAGAAAAAAGTAGTAGTGGTACATCTCCCAATAGGACTTTAACGTTTATAGTGTGTGGAGTTAACCAGTAAGTGGCCATTTTTACATGTACTGTAATTAGTTTTCAGGTACCAGGAGCATGCCTAAGGACTGGAGGCGATGACACTCAAAGGGATAATCAAGTCAAATGAGTAGTGGACAGACCTGCCAATCAGGATGTACAGCAGCACAGTGAGCAGGATGATGGCCACGGCGGAGGAAATAGCGATCAGGACAACCTGGCTGCTCTCACTGGAGATGGAAAAGGCTGCTGAAAGTCAGAGAGCAAAAAATAATGAGCAAACAAACTCATGTTTAACCTCATGGATGTTGTAGACTAATGCTGCTGTAAACATGTTGGCATGTTACTGTACTACAGCCAATATTTTGTGCCAATAAATGCCCAGATATTTAAATTTGGACAATTCCATAGAAAAATTATTCCCCTCAATCTAAGAATGTGTTCATGCTAAGACAGAAAATCTTTCTTTAAAGGCAATTAGACCACTGGGCAAAAAGACTCTTCTTTGAAAACCTGCAGGACAAAAGAGTGAGGTTTCCAGTCAGAATGGTAACATAGTCTCACTCTTCATAAGCCTTGGCCTTATCAGCTAATCATATTTTCAACTACAGCAGTAAAGGAGTTAAAGTTTTTTTGCTCTGTGTTGAGCTTACAGTCAGGACTGGTCTCAAACTGGAAGCTGGGGCTGCTGGCTCCATATCCAGCAGCAGTGCGAGCTCTGATCTGCAGCAGGTAGGCAGTGTTAGGCTTCAACCCATTCAGAGTCACATTACGGCCTCGAGCACGAAGGATGGTGTAAATGGTCTCTTGTTCCTCCTGTGGGACAGGAAAAACAAAGGAAGGGAAAGACAGAGAAAGAAATAAAATATTTGTGATACAGCTGGCATGTTTTGAGAAAACTATTACAATTCAGTAAGGGATCGAACCTTTTAGGAATACAACACAGTACATAGGCTACAGTATGTGGAACCAGTAACCACAACCACTATTTGCCTAACCCTAAGCCTTACCTTAATCTTAACCTAACCTTTAACAAAGTTGTCACCCTAAAGTTCAATGATTTATATGGTAGGAACCAACATCTGGCCCCCACAAGGAAGGCCAAGTCCCCTCAATGTGAGTGTGTAAACAGGTTCACAATGTGAGTAATGCCAGACACACACACACACACACACACACAATCATGGACACTTTCTTGCCAATTTGATGAATTATGCCCTTATACTTTATGACTTCTCCCCACTGATAAACCAACAGGAGGATTTACACACCAGGTCTGCATTTGGCACATTGCTTCCAGATGTGTTAGATACAGTATGTAGTAGGTAGATATAGAAGAGAAAAGATAGACTGCAGCCCTTTGGCTTTAAATGATTTCTATATATAGAATAACGTGCTACTAAGTGCCCTTCTAATAAAGCTGTGGATGTGATGGTTTTAAATATTTACGTCATGTTTTGTATATATTTTGTGCAACAGTGTGTGTGCTCCTAAATTGTCACCTGTTACTTGATAAAATACAGACATTAGAGAGAGAGATTCATTTGATAGATTAAACACGAAACTGATCAAAGTTGATTAGTGAGATGTTAAGGAACATCTAAAACGTTGTCTTTAGGCATTTTTATGGAGCTGAGGTAAAATATATTCTGCACAGACATGCAGGATATTTAAAAAAAAAATAGTAGCTGTGTCCCTTTGAGCTACACAAACTTTACTAATGTGCTATAAATATTTTATCATGCATATTTACTTGTTCGTTTGGTTTTTTTGTATATTTAATTAAGAGAATTAAATAAGACTGATAGGAAGATCAAAATGCATTTTCCAACACCATTTTGTACAACAACAACGACCTAAATAAAAACACAACAAATTGTAAACATCACACAGATAAAGTAGCTTGTCACTACAGGGGACTGAGGTCTTTTGAGGCGTTCCATGCCCTAAACAGATCTGCAGTTTGCCCTGTGTTATGTTATTTGTTATGAAACAAATTGTCAAATGGGGGAAAATAGAATGAGGGCCATCTTAAATCGTAATGACAAGCTATTAGGGATGAGTTCAACAATCTTGAAAATGAATGTTTCTCAGCATAGCCAAGATCATAAAAATCATTCAAGGGCTGAACTACAGAATGTCCAGGCAGAGCCAGATCCTCATTTTATTTATCCTTATTTTATCCTCAGTTACTAACAGGCAACCACTGGTAAAAGTAATGACATTAACACTCACGACCACACATACTGTGCACGTATAAGAAACTTCGTGCCCATTATTAGAGTGGATTAAAGTTTTATGGTGCACAAAGCTTTCTGAACTGGTGTGTGTGTGAGGAAGTAACTGATACACCAGATCTGCACTGGGACAACTGCTCACAAACGTAAATCTACTCGCAGCTTGTCACCATACGGCACACAGGACAGCATGTGATCCCCTGAAAAATCACACACAGGTGTGGCACAAGCATCTTTCCTTGTGTGTGTGTGTGTGAGAGAGAGAGAGAGACAGAGATACAGTGCATAACAGCAAAGCAAGACTCACCAAACACCTCTCCTTTATGCACACTGCAGCCTGACTAGCCATGTGATTGTGGGCTATCCACTTGTGTGTTTCCGTGCATGTGTATCTCACCAGAACACCACTAGAATTGAATCTGGCCTCTGTGCTGTGTTCTGCTTTCAGAAAGTAAACAAAGCTGTAGCAAATTATAGCTTGTATAACACATGCACACACACACTCAGTCATAGATGCAAACGCATACATACCCCAACAAGGGATGTACACCAGAAGTCTTGTAAATACAGTGTTTCAGCCAGCATTCCTTCCATCTAAGCCTAAATAAACAGGCCAAATTAAAGTGGACTGGAAGCTCCTCTCTCTGCTAGATTACAATGATAAAACATGCAAAAACAATCAGCATATTCCCACAAATTCTATTTTCACAAAGAGCGCTTGGAAATGCCTTATCAGCTACAGAATGCCCTTTAGCAGCTTAATGTGACAGGAAGATCTCAGAGTTAGTCTGGGATTTCCAAAGCTGAAACACCTCTCCTCTACTGGGAAGGCTTCTGGTTGGGAATTCCCAGCAATATCACCAAGCACTGCTATACGGAGGATAGGAAGTGAACAGCCCGAGCACTTTAGACACTTGGGCCTTTGGTTTCACAGCTGTGTGACACAGTGCTTTGCTGGTAGACAAATGTGTGGCCAGAACCAGAGGCAAAATATCAGTTGGTTTAACTGAGAATAATAAGCTGGTTCTCCTGGCGTTTGCCATGACAGCTACAGATATCATGAACTTCTTTGCAGTTTATAGTAACATACAGAATTATTTGAGTTCACCACTCAGCTCATCTGCCTCCAAACAAACAAATTATATATTTATACACCAACAGGAATCTAAAGAGAAACACTTAAGCAAATATATCCTTTTACAGTCATTTTTTTTATTTCTTAAGTGGCTTATTTAACTCCTGGCCTACATGTAGTATGGAGGAAGTAGTTAGGTCAACAAGTGCGAAATGATTAAAATATAAAAATAATGCAAAAGTAAAGTACAAAACAAAACAAAACAAACAAAAATAAAACACTGTTGGCTTGCTAATGCTTCACTTAGTTGCTCAGATGTATGATAGCTCCAGTGAGTCAACATAGTTTGTGTTGAATTCACATAGATGACTTTACAGTCATCAGTAGACTGGAAATGTTATGAATTACTTACAGCATGAAAAGTCCAGTCAGCACTTAGGTTGCTGTGGCACAGTATGAGATTATTAATGTTACTGAATTGTCCTAAATTTCGCAGCTTTTAAAATGTCCCTCTAAAACCTTTCCTTGTTTTGTTTCTCACAGAAAACATTGTTTTTTACATGTCACAACAGAAACATAGCTGCACTTGTATGGCTTTTTTTGTCATCCATTGGTCTGACCTCCAAACTCTATTGGTCCATCTGGTACAGAAAAGTATTGTGCTTTGACTTGTGTTGCTTGTTGCTTGCTAAGAGAAGCTAGAGCCATTAGTAAATCACTACACTGTGTATGTCTGTTATAAACACTAGAAAACAGCAAATCTGAACATCTTCTCTTTGCTAAAAGCTTTTTTCTTTTAATCTCTGTTAGTCTGTTTTGTGCTGTTTTGCTATCTTGTTTATGTGTAGATGTGATTATGTCTGTGTGTATGTGTAAGCCTCCTTCTGTCTCATATGTGAGTTATGGTGTGGTCTAGTTGTGGGGAATTTGTGCTCCAACTCTTGTCCTCCTATGGCATTGGTCCTTGGCATTCTAGAGGTTGTCGGCGTCCCTCAGCCTGCTACACGAAAGAGGCCTCTGTGCTGGGTTGTTATGGGTGTTCCCCTGGTTGTCCCAGTTTATTTTTTCAGGATGGAAGAATCCTTTGTTGGGGATTTAAAATCGCTGGGTATGTATGGCTACTGTGGAGAATCTTCTGGGAACTTGGTTTGTGTGTGTGTGTGTTTGTCTGTCCCTCAGTGTCTCTGGTAATTCCTGAGAGATGATGTGATTAACAGAGATCAGTGCAAAGGCCCAGAGAGTTTGTCCCACAGATTCTTCCTTCCCTTCCCACATTTCTCTCTGTCATCTTTAAATGAAGATGCACTTGCAGAGAATAAGCATGTGTGTGATTGGAAAAACCACAGCTGAGTTAGACCTGCAATAAGGTCTGACCCAATATCCATCATTAACTTTTCCTCTCGCTGTTTTCCGGCCTTGTTTTAACATCTTAGGTAAGGATGGCTGGGCAGGGAACAGAGTTTAGCGAGGAAACAGCTTCTGTCAGCCTACTAATCAAGAGATTAGGGGCCACTGTTGGCATTCAAGCAAACTGTGATCTGGGACACACAAATACACACATACACATTGAATCTGCCAGTGATTAAACTTGCATCCATGGCTAATTTCACCATCAAATGTCAGGCATAGCACAGCATCGGTGCTGAAAGCCAGTGTAATTTGTTCTGCACTAATTTTCCTCACAGAGGAATGAGCGACCCCACAGACGCATTTACTATCTGCCATAAAACTTGTCTCCATTAAGGAGCAGAGTGGAGAGGAGGACAGGATGAATGATAGAGATGGAAAGAGGAGATGAGAGGAAAAATAGGGGAAGGAGGGGAGGAGCAAGGAGCAGTAGAACGGAGACAGAAAAGCAAACAAGATGAAAGAATAAGAAGAAAGGATGGAGAAGAGAAAGGAGGAGTTGTGACAAAAGCAAAAGGAATGAGAGAAGGAAGGAAAGGACAGGATGAAACAACATGACACAGTCTTTGGTTTGTTCTAGATAAAAATCCTGGACAACATCAACCTCATGCCACACGAACAGGCTGTTTAACCCTTTTGTATCACTAATACTGACATCAAACAAAAACCACCAAAATGTTTTAAACTGCAGATAAGCCTGCACTCATCTATGCATACCATACTACATATTCATATCAAAACCAGCGCTCGCTAATTAGTAAAGTGGGCGTTTTTTTCAATGTAAACACCGAAATGTGGAATCAAGTCATTAATAGCATCTACAAGTGAGAAACCATGATCATTCTAATCAAAGACTGGGTATAAAGGCCATGACACACCAAGCAGATGGTTGGCCTTCGGCCACCGGTGGGCCATCGGTGAGCATCTGTCTAGGTTTGTCTTCTGGAGGCATCATAGACTGTTGGCACTAGTCAGACCCTATCTGTGGCTTTTCATCCGATTCAGTATGTTGGATCAGGGTCAGGCCAGTTGGGACTCTTCGGTAAGAGAGAGGTCACTGACCGACTGTTCAGCTAAGTGAATTAATGCAAGAAGGGAATGGTTCAGGAAGCCCCTTCAGCGTATTGCTGTAGTATCCATGATTTCACACATTTAGTGCCATTTGCAAATTCTTATCAGACATATCAGTCAGTGGATTACTAGCTTTCTGACAGACAGTAAGTAGCAGATGAGGCTGGGGAAAACCACATCCAGTACCTGGACAATAAGCACAGGTGCCCCCCAGGGATGTGTGCTCTCCCCTCTGCTGTTTTCACTCTACACCAACGACTGCATCTCAAAGGACCCCTCTGTCAAGCTCCTAAAGTTTGCTGATGATACAACGGTCATTGGTCTCATCCAAGACGAGGAGGAGTCAGCCTGCAGACCAGAGGTTGAGCAGCTGGTCCTGTGGTGTAGCCGCACCAACCTGGAGCTGAACACGCTCAAAACAGTGGAGATGACAGTGGACTTCAGGAAGAGCCCTCCCACCTTGCCCCCACTTATCCTACTTGGCAGCACTGTATCAGCAGTAAAGTCCTACAAGTTCCTGGGCTCCACTATCTCCCAGGACCTGAAGTGGACGTCCAACATCAGGACCATCACCAAGGAGGCACAGCAGAGGATGTACTTCCTGCGCCAGCTCAGGAAGTTCGACCTGCCCCAGGAGCTGCTGATACAGTTCTACAGAGGAATCATCGAGTCTGTTCTCTTCACCTCCATCACTGTCTGGTTTAGCTCAGCAACCAAACAGGACAAGTACAGACTTCAGCGGACAGTCAGGACTGCAGAAAAGGTCATTGATGTGAGCCTGCCCTTCATGGAGGACCTGTACACGGCATGGGTCAAAAGGAGGGCGGAGAGGATCACTGCTGACCCCTCACACCCCGGATACAATCAGTTTGAACTCCTCCCCTCTGGACGGCGCTACAGGTCACTGTGCACCAAGACAACCAGGCACAGGGACAGCTTCTTACCCCAGGCTGTCACTCTGATGAACACTTAACCAACGACAGTATGACTGGACAATAACCCTCAGTACAATACCTGTAAATATACATTGTACAGATTATACCGAGTCATAGAGGTCTCTAGTTTTAAGTACTCTATTTTTATCCCCAATTTCAATTTCTCATTTCAATGAACATTCCTTTGTTGTCTGCATTGTTTACTGTCTGTTTATACTGCTTATTCTGCATTGTTTGCACCGTTACTGCTACTTTGTTATATTAAACAGCCTTATGCTGGTCTACTGTTTGCACATTGATGCCGATGTACCTGAGTCAAATTCCTCGTGTGTCCGTCACACCTGGCCAATAAATTGATTCTGATTCTGATATTCTTAATTAGAAGCAGCTGTAAATAGCAGCTGTTTTGAATGAGAGCTACTTTCTTTACGCTTGTATCTCTGCACTCTAGCACTTCTTCTTTACCTTCCCGAATGTCAAATACATACACCACCACCTGATGGTAGGGGGAATTATTTCTCTCAGAGGTTCAGAAAGCAGAAAGGTGCTAGTCTGCCATTGGCTGTGGTCCATGTAGTGTGTTAATGTGCCTATTTTTCAACTCAACTGGTCCAGACAAAGGCAATGTGAGAAGATGCAACAGTCGGCCTAGGTCACTGCTAGGTCATTTACGTTGGCTTAGTGTGTCTCTGCCTTAAGGGGAATTTTATTTAAATTTCAAATTACCAGTTAAAGTGTTTTTTTTTTTTGTAGTGACTTCTGGGTTCAAACTAATTAAAAAGAAGAAAAACAAAAACAACCCAGCAACATCTGCATGTAAAGCATTTCAGTAGTTTATTATATATTGCTTATTCACTTGCTTGCCAAGAGTTTGATATAATAATAATAATAATAACAGCTTTACATTATGGTTGTAGCTTTATATTTACCAGCTAGATCTTGCATTTTTTTTCTCCTCATCAATCTCTTGGCAGAAATGCAAGTAAGTGTATTTTCCAACATGTTGAACTATTCCTTTAAGAAGTGCAGTTTATGGTGGTGCCTTGCACAAAGACACAACCACAAAGCTTTAATGGCAATGTATTCTGCACCAACCTTTTCGTAGTATTTGATCTCATAGTCGAGGATAATGCCGTTGGGTCTTTCTGGCTCCTGCCAGGACAGTGAGACACTGTTTCGAGAAGTCCTCTCCTTTCTGATCACTGTTACTGGAGAGGGAGCTGGGTGGGAAACAGACACAGAGTAGAAGAGAGAGAGAGAGAGAGAGAGCTCTTTTATTGTGACTTTCAGTGGAAGTTCAGTCTCCGGTGTTGCATCCTGGCAATTGTCTAGGTTCCTGTTAGCCTAATTCAGTTTACTAAAGCCCAGTGGGGCCACATAAAAGGCTGTGGACCAGGGCTGCTGGCTGGAACGAGACAGCGTGCACTAATGCAAACACTGGCTTGTGCATATACACTCGCAGATTTGCAACACATGTTGCACCATTCAGTCTCTGTTAGAGCAATACAGCAAATAGTGCTTAGGCAAGAAGATTCAGTTTTATTTCTTCAGGATAAAACTTCATTCTGGTCATTCTATTGATGTGGCAGCATAATATTCATCCATGTCTTATGAGAAACTTTAACAGATTAAACTTTAGTGTTGCCTTCTTGCATGAGCAAATATCTATTTTGCCGGTGTAAATTTGAGAAGTAATCTCGGGGAGGAATCAATAGCAAATTTCATCAAGACTAAAGAAAAGCTAGGATGCGTTTGGTTACTGTGTTAACTGTCTCTGGAGCTGTGAGAATATGAAACTCTCATTCAATTATTTATTAAGCTTCACACACACACACACACACACACACACACACACACACACAAAACATGACTTAAGTTAGTTCCTGCTATACTGATAACAAAGCAATTTCTCACCAAAACACACTGATCTGTTTTAATGTAGAATTTATCATAATGTCTATTTTTCCATTGCATTTTGTAAAAGTTTTGTACTTTTATTTTGAATCCATTTTATTTATAAACCATTGTTTTCCTTTAATCTTTCTGCTGTCCCCATCCCTTTCACTTTGGCATTTTCTCTCTCGCCGATCCTTCACCCATGCATTACCCTGCCTCAGGGAGTTCACATGGTCCCAGTCTAGTAATTCGCCACATCCCTCTCTCTATCAACCTCTGCAACCCACCCTCATTCTGCATCTCTCTCTTCACTCCCTTTCTCAGTTCACTTCTTTACTGCTCTCTAATTGCCAGGCAGGTCTGGGGCTGGCCCGGCATCTGAGGCATCGACTTTTAATTTTATTAGACCACAGGAAAAAACATGTTTGTCTTTGAGATGTTCAAGCTTTTCTTGATTGTGATTATTTGGCTGCAGAGTGCGTCTGAGTGTGTGTTTCTGTCTTTTCCATGCATACACTCGAGTGTATTTCCACGGGAAGTTATTTTTCTCCAGTAATGAAACCAGATGGGGAGAATCTGTTTCTATACCCCCTGCTCCTCCTCTCCTCCTCTCCCTCTGGTTCTGATAGCCGGGTGAGGCTTTGCTTTTTATTGGCTCTGTGGTTTATGGTGGTAATGATTTACTGTGTCTGGGCCGCTTGGAGGCAGCTTCATGTTCCTCTCCTCCTTCTTCTTCTCGCTACCTCCCCCCCGGCTCTCGCTCTCCGCATGCCTATTGCCAAGCACTTAATTTGCTGTCACTCTCTGTTTCTGTCTGCGGTGTAACTGTAAAACTGATGCAGCATATCAGGCCCATAATGGCCTTAAAAACTGGCCTTCAGCATCATTTGTCTGTGATGTGAGGGACGTGATACAGCTGTTGCAACACATCTATTTATCATGTAAAACATTGGTGGACTATTGGAAGTGATAGCAATTTATTCAGTAAAAAGAGTTGCTGTCCAGTGGCATAAAATCCATGTACTTCTATGCGCCTGTGTTTTCTCCTACCAAACCAACTCTGCCAAATTTAGCTGCAGTTGAGACTGTTGATATTAAACAACTCTAAATGTGAATCACACTTACTCTGTTGTTAGTATAGTTATGACAAAGAGTGGAAGGCAAAGGAGGCTAAAGGGGGAGCGTTATGTGACAGCACCTTGACATCACAGCCAAGACACACTACTACATCCCAGGGAAACACTTAATCCAACTTTTAACAGCTTTGGCATCGGTTTGTGTGTGTGTGTGTGTGTGTGTGTGTGTGTGTGTGCGTATGTCGCAGACAGACAGACAGGTGGGGCTAGTGCACTGACATACCTAATCCTTGTAAACTCTCAGGGCTGATGGAGAGTGTGCAGCTGCAGGCTGAGATATTTGTTACAGTAGCAAGTGAGAAGAGTGTCATTGTGTGTGTGTGTGTGTGGTGAGTAGGGTGGGGCAAAGGTGTGTGTGTGTGTGTGCTTGGTGTGTGATTTGCAAAGCTCCTGATGATCACTCAAACTTTAAAGACGGCTTTCAATATTCTGAGCACATAACATGCCTCTTAGTGTTGCTAAGCCCTCTTTAAATCTAATATGTATCCCAGTGACAGAGAGAATCCCCCTAACTAACCACACACAGATTAGAGCGCTTACTAACAAAAGACTCCAAACTTTTCCAAACCCAGGTTGTGTTTTTCACTGGATTGTCTTTAATTAAGTAACTTTTATTCCCCACTAATCTTTCTCCTCATAGCAAGAAATGACAAGTCCTGATTTCGCTTCATTCTAGACACTTGTGCCTGTACGTGAACAAACACACACACACAGGTTCAAATTGCTCTTTCTAAAGCTGCTACACACTACTATAAAGGTATTTCAACAGCACCTAAACAGTCAAACTGAACAATTTCTCTGTAATTGACAAATGAACTACAAACGAACTGTCATCAGAAATCCACCACTGCAGCGCGACAATATGGAGAGAATTCAGTTCAACAAAGCCATGAGCTTAACACCATCTTTCCTCTTCTAGTCCCAGTTGTATTCAGCACACTTTGTGAAAGTGTGAGGTTAACCTTGACTGAATACTTTTGTGACAGTTTTAATATTTAATATCCTGAATTAATTTAAAAAAATGACTGTATTCACTAGCGAGGACCATGCCTCAATGACGAGGGAGCAGGTGCGGTATAAGGTGAAGATGGAGATGATTGATGCTTAGGTGACATTATAATTGAGGAAGCCTCTGAGGGATCCACACTGCTCTCGGGCATGCATGGCAGATCCCCCATGTGGAAGGAAGAAGACAGGAGGAAGGAGTGGGGGACAGAAAGGAGAAAAGAAGAAGGAGGGGACAGGAAGAAAGATAAGTACAGTAGATGAAAGGGAAGGAGGGCGGGTTATAAAAAATGAAAGCGTCTGATGTTGAGACTGCGGAAGAATTTATAGGGAGATGACAGGAAAAGGAGTGATTAGAGGCATAGTGCTAAACCTAAATCTCTGATATTCATCTTCATTTGTAATATATTATTCAGCAATTGTTTCAATTATGCCTTCTTTATTTTTGAAAATGTGAAATGCTCTGACTGACTGCATCCTATATCCAAAAAGAACCAATGTATCCCACATTTTAACAGCTCTTATATTTCTGAAATAAATCAGCGACACAGAGGTCCAACTCAAAACAAACAAAGCTTGAACCACTTCAAGTCCCATTGCATCAGGCTTCAAGGCACACTGACCAATCTTACCATTTAGCTATTATCACTGATGGATTGGTATAACAACGTATGAGGGAAACTCTTCAAGCTGCTCAAAAACCAATTTGCTAAATCACCTTCTAGGATCTGGAACAAAATGTCCTACAAAGAAACATGAACACACATAAAGAGAATGGCTAGATGTGAGCTGGGTTTGAAATGTGACAGGTAGAAATAAAGGACCATCTGTCCACGTGAAGCAAGAAAGGGAAAAGGAGAGGAAAACAGAAAAAATGCTGAGGTGTTGATACAACACATAAACAAATACAGGGGCAAACTGTGTGAGGGGATAGTGAAGGGAAGGGGAAGAAATGTAAATAATAGAATAAATAGCAACTTCATGATCTACAGCAGGCTCTTTGGAAAATTCCTTGTATGAGACAGGGATTTCTCAGGTTTGGAGCTCACTGCAGCTTTTTTACGCTTAGAATTTCCCAGCCTCACTTCTCTTTGTCTCCCTTGTCTTCTAAGTGCTGGATGTATGAAAGATTGATGGGAGTTTTAGGAGTCCATGCTCACATTAAGGGTGTCTTTTAAAGGGATGAGGTATTTTTTTTCAAAGGTGGAAGACATTTAATTCTGGTCATAAAACAAGAGAATAGTGGTCTGATATTAGCTTGTAAATGTCCACGGCTGATAGTGGGAGTGCATATGTTTGGAGCTGATGTGTTAAACAATAAGAATACTGTACTTAGAGGGAGAGAGAGAAATAGAATGTGATTTAAAGAGAGATGCATGCATATTATCCATGTTAGGTCGTTTTTATTTCATGCTTTTGCAGTATTACCTACAGAATGTTTGAAAACACACGCTTCTCCATATATGAATATCATACAGTATAGTGTCTGGACAGTTGCAGACCTGTACAGGTTGTAGGCACCAACTAAGCACTAAAATATCAGTGTAACTCTTGTAAGTTTAAGATTTTCACACAAAAAAACGAGACAGCTTATTTCAGGGATTTGCACACCTTGAACACAGCAGGAGCAGTTACTCCGTAAAACCCCCTACTGGTTCAGAACTTTAAAGCACATGTATGTCTGCCTGTTGATCTCAGGGCATGCCTTTATCCTTCTACTTATCTGCTCTGACATCTTACCAGCTTGGTTGGTGGTGATGGTGACAGTGGCGTACTGCCTCAACCTGGGTGCCAGTGAAGACACACCGTTCTGCGCTTCAATCTCAAACGTGTAGTTAGTGTGAGCCAGCAAGTCGCCCACCGTCACCGTGGTGTTGTGGAGGCCTGTGGCTCTTGGCAGAAAGCGAACATTGCTCCGACAAGGTTCACAATGTTGGGTGCCAGCACCGCTGCCGCTAACAGGGCCGCGACGGCAGCGTTTGCAGACGACAGTGAAGGCAACATCCCTGCGCCCCCCGGTGTCCTCTGGCCAACTCCAGTCAAGGATAACTGAAGTCTCGTTGATGGAAGAGATAACATTGCGAGGAGCTGAAGGAGGACCTGGTAGATGGACAAGAGGGGGAAGTGAGGTGAGATGGAGGTGAGAAACAGAAGAGGAGGAAGTCAGTGGATGCATAGGAGCATAGACAGGTTTTGGGTTGGCAGAAGGTACCGTAGAAAGGAAGAAATTGTCCATTCATCCAACTACAGTAGTACTGGTCCCATGAATTTGTGTATATACAGTGCAGTATTAGAAAATGTGTCTGTTTTCCATCTGCCCTTTTTATCAGTCAGTAAGAAAAAAAACTTTGTCAAACTCAGGCTGACATATAAATGTAAACACTTTTTATCACAAGCAGATCACTCCGAGTATTTCCAGATTTTTATATGAAAACTATGACTGGAATTACACAGAGGACAAAACAAACCTGACAAATATCTCAAGTAAGGGAAAGGAACTGAAATAGGCCTAGTGGCCTGTGTCTCGAGATAAAATGCTTTGTTTGGTTTATTTGACTTGACAAGAATTTATTTTCCTCCCATAGCTGTAGAACAGATGAATATGGTATATCAAAAGCCCCTTTTACACAGAGATTTCACTATATTAGCGCTACGCTGGTCCTTCTTTATTACAGCTTTGCAGATTTACACTAAACTAAAAGAGCCAACATAATGCTGCCCCTGTGTTCTTTTGACAGCTGATACCCTCATTTCGGTTTTAGAGCTGTGACGTTTAACATTTAACACATCCAGTGTGACATAGTCTATAACCATGCATATAACACACATTGGAAATACAAACCATATCATGTTGGTTTCAAATCGACCGTGGAGGATTGGAAGCTGCCTTAAAATTTCAATATAATACTGCTATCTTATATTAAATGCATGTATCACTAAATAAATGTATGTCAACCATAATCTGTGAAGTTATAACAGACTATATTTTTATGCTAACTGACCCTGACAGTCCTCTGGCTCGTCTACACAGATAACTCCACTGACCACATCAGAGTTTTGGAACTGTTATTCACATCAGATATTACCTGCACAGGCATGCAGATGTACACATGCAGGCAATTATACACTAATTCCAAATGTCAAAATAATACATAGACACTGAGATTAACACGTGACACAAATTATGGTCTGTATGAAGAGAGGATGTATATGTAATCTCCAATCGCTCACAAAGGGACTTGTGTGACTGACAATTCTCTTTAGGCTCTTTCCAGCCAGCAGATGCTAAAACTTCAAATTTCGAAAAAGGCGGTGTTGTTCAGCAAATTACTGCAATAAAAATTTAAGCAAGACAAACCAGAACTATTTGTGCACTTTTGTGGAGGAAGTGCTGTGGGTTGTAGGGGATTGAATAAATGTATTTTTAATTGGTGGGACTGAATTCTTCAGAGTGCACTGTAAGGACATCTGTTACAGAAACATCTGTTGAATACAACAGAAAAAAAACCAGACTGTTAAAAGGAGTTTTCCCCTAGTTTTTCTGTGACTTTGGTATTCACATTGTCCTGCCCTCACACATATTTCTGCTGACATTTTCAAATTTCCAAAGTCAACTCTAAACAGCCTCTGTCCCTTTTCTGAGATAATCATGTTCATTGTCTTATCTATTCATTTGCAGCTCTTTGAGCTGCTCAGTCAGTCCCAATGAGGTGAAATTCGCCTTGCTGACAAGATGGTGTTGAGATAATCACAACAAGGACCTGCCACGACCGTCTTTCTAACTAGGATTCTGTCTGTGGCTGTGGTGCGTTGCATTATCACCAAATGGAAACGTGACTGTAGAAAGAGGAAACAGTGATAGAGAGCTCTTCAGCAGTCGTGGCTTCAGTGACCCTTAAATAAATAAGAAATGTTAACTCTTTTTGTTTCTTAAGCTATTTTTATTGTTGAACTGGGAAATTACAACCTTCAGTTGTATTGTGTGTAGGAATTCAATCGTAAATGAGATTCTGCAAACTAAGAAACATTGTTAGGTCACTTTCATTGGAAGCAATGAAACCAAAACTGATATTTTTAGACAGTTCTAAAGCTTCTGGATTAAACTGAAGGTAGACCATATGTCTATGCACTGTAATGTATGCAACACATAATTTTATTTTTTTATTTGTTCAGACAACTGTGTTTCCCGAAAGGGACTGGGTGTAGAAAAACACCTGAAAGTATTTAGCACATTGTGGGACATTAAAGCAGGTTTTGGAGTGTGTTTAATGGTGTAATGAGAAAGGTTTTTCAGCACCACATGGGAGGAATCTCTGGTCAGATATCTCATAAAATAATATGAGCAGCTGTGCTCTGGGATCGTATAAACTCAGTATAAACACACAAAGCACACACACACTTACGGGTACAGGCCATGGAGGCGGGGTCCCCCTCAGCACGGAAGTAGTTTTTCTCACAGCCACAATGCAACGACCCTTCATAGTGAGAGAAGCTGTGAGGTGGACACTTTGAACACTCCATGTTCCCAAGCATAGACTTGTAGAAGCCTGCCCTACACACTGGAGACAAAAGAACACATCCATGAGCATCATGCTGAACCAGCATATCAACAGCTATCTAATAGCTACATTTTTCTTCAGAGCACCTGCAACAAGAGCAAGTAAGAAATGAAAGATGGAGAGCAAATGTGTACTCACACACACACACACACACACCCAAACTGCAAGAATAGGTCTGAATGTAAATCTGCTGTTAATACAACAAGAATTCATTGACTGCTAGTAAAAAATGATAATTCTCTGGAATGTCTTTGTCTCTATTTCTCTCTCTGTTCATCTTTCAGAAGGCACAATGTGAATAATGCAAACTGTCCCCTCAGATAAAAGGGCTGCTCTCTTTAAAGATCTGTGGTATTAAATCTGCACTCAGCAGCTCTTTTAACTCCTACTCGCCACAAATCTGGTGCAATCTGTGCAAATAGGGTGACACTACACCTGTGTGAAGTGATGCTATTGTATGTGTATGTATTTGTGTTTCTGAGTAGGAAAGAAAATCACAAGGAAGGGATCACTGAAAAAATTCTCTTTATCTTTTATCTTATCAGGACTTCATGATCAGTTACAAAGCATTTAAGCCTACAAAAGCCACTCCCATTAGAGTGAATTTTATTGGTCACAGACAGTAAGGTTTAAGACCAGCAGTACTGTGCTTTCAAACAGGTATCCCTAATAAAATACATAGCAACTGCAAATTAAAAAAAACAGGTCACAGGATTAAAGCAACACTCTGTTAAGTATTTTACACATATGGCAACAATTTAGGGCCTTTAAAACGTTTGTGTGTTAGAAACCCAATTTAAAACCACTTGGTTAAACTTCTTCCACTTCAAATTAAAGGCTTCGCAGACACAGGCAGATTAGTGTTGATTAATTGGTCAATAACCAATTAACTAATGACCTGAAATTAAATCATAGAAGGATGTGGAAGACACTAATTGAACAGGGTTGAATTTTATTAAATTGCAATGAGAGAACTTTTAAAGTAATCTGACACTATTACACGGACACTCATTCAAACAGGCTTGTTCCTTCTCTCTCTCCCATTCACACACACACACAGTTTAAAAAAATAGCTAGCAGCAACAGCAGCGAGCCAGCAGAATGTGAGGGCTCAGCAGAACAGGTCTGACAGATCCCGGTGCTAGACAACATGTTACGGCAAAAGACAACACTGCTGATACTGCTGCCATATCCATCACTGACACTGGCACACCAAGGACCTCACGCTGCACTAAATACTCACCTGCCTCCTATCTACGTTGTGTACTGTATGCGTGCATGCATGTGTGTGTGTGTGTGTGTGTGTGTGAGTGTGTATGAGAATGTGAAGCGGGCTTAAACATCCCTATCATGATCCTACTGATAGAATGACAACCCAATCTCTCGCTGACACACACAAAACAGACCACCTGGATTGGAGGACACACCAGGAAATATGACCTGACAGCCAGTTCCCCCAGCCAATCAGGCAATAGAAGCAGTGAGATATCTGCTGTGTCAGCAGAAGTGCATAAGTAACATGAAACAGAAGTGTGGATAAAACAGACAGAAGTTAAGATGAATTGGCCTCATTGCAGCAGACGACTGAGCCTTTTTCGAGTAACACCACACAAAGATGCCTTCACTGTGCTCACTGGATACTGGGCTCAAGTCCAACTGGATCTGTTTCCATTTAGCTACCATATGTACTGACGTCTGGCACTGGTTTCATTTAGGATTAGAAACTAATCAGTTATAGAAGATATGTATATTTGCAGGAGACTGATAATTTTGGTTTTTATATCCAGGTGTCACAGAAGTTTTGCTTGTCAGAGATATAAAACAGACAAGGTTCATTTATCTAAAGGTTTAAAACTGTAGGACCCAATCTGCCTGTGGCTCTCAGTCCCTGGTTCCTATTAAAGACATACTACAAATGGGTCACACATACAGTATATACACTCACCAGCCACTTTATTATGTACACCTGTACAATTGTATGTAATTCAATGCGACACTTCCACCTTAACAGGTGGTGTTGCACTGGACATTATATTAAAAGTGTCTCTATATCATACATCATAAATACTTGTTAGAAAAGCCACATCAGTAGATATTGCTTAAAGCATGGCCCACTGCTATGCAACTGGATGAACTGAGCATTTTACTACACTTGGATAAATGACTCTGGCAAGACAAAACTTCACAAAACGAGAAAAACTGCCTCATTTCCACTTGAAAGTTAAAAATATCTGTGGACTTTTCAGCACATAACACAGCCACTTCAAACTTCTTAGACACAAAGTGAAGGTCATAAATTTCCAGTGAAAGAATTAATAATCAGAGCTGTATTTACAGTGTGAGTTTTTCATTAGAGAGTACAGTGATATGTTGTATTTTCTTGACCGCGGCCCTAAAAATATTTTTATAACAGTTGGAAAAAGATAATAAAGGTCCCTGTGAGTCTGCTGGGATAAAAAGCAGCTCTGACAGAGTCTGATGGTAAAATCAGATTTGGCTCACAGGAGGTTAACTCCTCATCTAGGGGAGCACTGGGATGTGTTACACTGACATTCACTAGAAGTGTGTGCAAGAGCATGTGTGGATAGTATATCATGTGTAGTAGTATCTGTGTGTGTGTGTGTGCACGTGCACGCATCTGGCCCCAGAGGGGAAACACAGCACCTCTTCAGATGACAGAGTTTGTGTGATTAATTAAAAGGTGTGTGTGTGTGTGTGTGTGTGTGTGTGTGAAAAATCACAGACACCAGCACATTCACAAGAGCCTCACTGCCTTGGCACATAGAGAGAAAATTAAATATCTGAAGAGAAAAATATGAAGGTTATCCCTCATGAATCATCCTTTATTTATTTTTCAGTCAATAACAGCAGCAAGAAACAGCATGTGAGGACTGTATCACTGTCGCAGTACGTACCCCTTTGTGATGCATACACACAGATATGAAATTAAGTTGAAATTTGTGCAAATACTGACACATTCATGGTAATTTAACATAATTTCTTGCCGCTTTCTGCATCATGACAGCTGAAACACAATCTCTTCATTCAGTTTTAAAGAGCAGTGTGCGCTAACAATTACAGTACACACACACACACACACGTGCACAAGGACATGTACACATATACAACTGCAGCAGCTACATGATATGGTGGCTGTAAAATAACTAGGGCAGTGATTTACTCAATCAATAGTCTCGGTCACAAGACACCGTCATCAATAATTAACATGACTATTGACTGGTCTAGTGGTCCAGCGTAGATTATAGTGCAAATTTGTGATTCTAAAGCAAAGATGTTTCACAATTTGATGAGTCAAATGAAACCTGGAATTTGAATGTGACTGGTAGATACAGCTTTGTCACATGCAATGATGGACATACAGTATATTAGTATTTATAATATGCTGTAATTATCTGAAAGACATCATCACACTACACTTAGCGTGTTATTTCTCACTTGACCCCTGAATTCACTCATCATTTATCATTTGTACCGTATCACCGAAAAAGTGGGAAAGTACCTCTGCCCTTGACCCCTATATACGTGTCTGCCTGACCCAAAGCTTCAGCCTTGCACGTTCTTTCTCTCTGAGTCACATAAAGTCAAGCACACTTCCATGGTTCAGTCTTGCTACAAACAGAGCCAAAACAAAGTGCAGACCCAACAACTGATTTCCTGTCTCCATACCACCTCCGCTTTTCTTTTTTAAATCTGACAAGATCGCAATTACTTTCACTCCCTCTCTCCTCCCCTTCCATCGCCCTCCTTCTCCACCTCCCTTCATCATGCCCTCCCACCTTCAGTTCTTTTCTGTGGCTTTCCCTGCTTTTCAGCTGCTCCATCCTTCTTTTGTTAATTGGAACAGCTCTCTTTGAAATGGAAAAGTTATTTACTTTGACAGCTTAGGCATTTGGCTGGCGGTCTTATCCGGAGCCACTTGTAAGGTTACTGGAAACATGGCAACAGTAAACATCTTGCCCCCTGCCATGAAATCTCCCTATGGGCCAACAAGTAACAAGAAAAAAAAAAGTCCCAGTCTTTGATGAAACTGTCATGTTTTTTTGGTGGAAATATTTCCTTTGTCTAATAATTATGTCTTGTATAAAAGTTTTGTGGAAAAACTGTTGACAAAAGAGAAAAATATACAAAATTGCACCATCTAAACAATTCAATTATATAGATTTTATTACAACAAAGTCTCACAGCAAAATGGATAATAGTTACATTGGTCCGCAGCACGAAACATACTAGTCTCACAATAAGGCCTTGAAAACTGTGAAATGGCAACAAAAACAAAAAGCACTGGCTGAAATTCCTTATATATGGTTAAGTGGTTAAGGTTAGAGTACAATAAAACCCGGGTTTGGTTAAAACACTCTCAACTATAAAGTACGACATTGCACACAGGACACGATCTCTGGTTGTGTGCCTAAAAGTCAGGTGTTTTTTGGACCCATCCATCAACCCCCAAACACCACCTTCCTAATGTTTTTAACATTCTATAGGGCTAAACCGTTTACCCTCCAGTCTAGATGGTGGTGGTAATGCACCATGTCACTGTTTGCCAACTGCCATAAAACACCAAGAAGAAGAACACAAAGAAGGACACTGGGCTGCACATTAGTTTTGCAGCCCTTAATGTGACACTACTACATTTTACGCTGTGGACCAGTGTAGCTGTTCTACATTTTCATGAGAGACTGCACTGCTTATTTCCATCAATTAAATATTGTCATCTGAATGATATAACACCGAGATAACCATAATAACAAACGTGCATGTCATGGAAAGGCACATTCTAATAGTCAAGGCCCTAATTCAGGACTATATTACTCTTACATGCAAAGTGACACAGACATTCATTATGGAGAATTACAATCAATTTCTTGAACCTAATATGTCTGTAACCCAATAAAACGAACCAATTGTTGTCACAAATATAAATGAAAGCAATCATCAGAACTGATAGGTTGTGTCTTGGGCCAAACTGATGCACATTC